ACCATCCAGCATGCGTGCGGCATACTTCCCAGCACCACAGATGCACAGTGTACTGACATGGATGCCCCAGACGTGCCCACGCCACCCCTGAACCTAGTAAGCCGGCCCCAGTGGCAGTGTGGGAGCCCAAATCCGGGTAACCATTCAGCTGTCCAAGTGAGGACGTGAGAGTACCTGGTAGTGACAGCAACTCTCTCCCATTCTGCCCGCCACAGTGCGCTGATGATAACTGGATGGAGAGTGGGCAGCACTGTTCAGATAGGATTGTCGCTATTCAGTTAGTGGCAGGGTGCATCCCCGATAGCCCTGAACAGCAGCAAGGGTGGCAGTTGCTGTATCTTGGTGATCAGTTTGTTGGCTGCATTCTGAGACCAAATGGTAGATGGAGGAATATTGGCTGGGACTCGTAATCGTACAAGTTTTGTTGACTTCCATGAACCTGTGATAATTATCATGATATGACTAAACTGGATGTCTACTGGCCTAGTAGGGGCAGAGTTTGTCCAAACTGGGGCACGGTATTCACCAGCTGAGTAGCAGAGAGTGAACCCTGAACGATACAGCGCTTGCACGTTACGCCCCCAGGTGAACCCTACCAGTTTGTTCAGGAAACAGTTTTGAGCTACTTTAGTGGCCTGTGAGATCTAGACTGACCCTGACTGACTTTGGCCCTTGTCCAACCGCTGGCCATTCAAAATGATGTTACGCTCCACTTGGCTCTGAGCATCATGTACGTGGAAGGACATTGACCCAGTCTTTGATGTACTCGGTTGCAATCCCCATTTCTTGCAATGGTCACATATGGTAGCCATCTTACTATTCAGGCCTTCTTCAATATTTTGGAAGTCATGGTCTCTTGAGGCCAGGCACCTATCCTTGCCATACATGAACCATCTGCAGATGGTGTTCAGGAGGTCATTGGTGAATACTTGAAATACAGTTCGTGCCAGCACCGTTACTTGTGGGAGTCTGTTCTGCTGGAATCGCCAGCGGCTGGTTTTATAGCCCAGAGCCACCAGAAAACATCTACCTTGGAGCCTCAGCTCATTTGCCATCTTGCCATGACAACCCATCCAGGGTGACCTGTTGTATACCAAACAAACTGAAGATACAGCAGGTAGGGTTATCAGTCCAGCTAAGGGAAATAAGACCAAATGCATCTTCAGCCCACCCCATAAATAGGCGTGTGTTTGTCTGTGTGTATATATATATATAAAAATGTCATTCAAACATATTGTGGGGGGAGTGGAAGGAAGAATTCAGATTGTAAGACAAGTATTCACAGTACTAGTCAAAACACAATCAGTCCTTAATGGCTCGGTCCACTCAATTTGTACACAAGGACAAGCCTAACTTACCACCTACATGCAAGACAACTCTTCCATTTCCCTTTGCTCCGAGCCTCTTCTATTCCTCCTCTACTACTTCCACCTATTCCTTGGAATTCCGTGGAAACTGTGAGAGGCTGTCTTCTCTGTAGAGAAGACCTGGGTGATTGTCTCCTGGGTCTGGGCACTGGGTGAGCCTGGGTGTGAGCAACCACACTGCAAAAGCCTACCCAGGTTACTGTGTCCTCACTGGGGCTGCACTCACCCATGCGTGTCGCTAGGACTTCTGGGGGTACAGCCATGGTTATTTGTGCCAGAGGAGGCTGAGCCATTCTGTGGGTATGTTACCACTGCAAACAAACAAACAAACTAACAACCCCATGTCAGTGAGCCTCAGAGCCCAGATCTGCAAACTCAGAGGGCTCATGTTACAGCACTAAATATACCGGGTAGAAGTTCCCACTTGGGTTCTGAAGCCTGGTGATAGGGTGGGTCTCAGAGCCTGACCTCCAACCCAAGCGGGAACTTCTATGTGGCTGTTTTTAGTGCTGTATCATGTGAGCCCCCCAGCCTGAGTCTGCAGACCCAGGCTCTGAGCCTCACTGCTGTCGGGTGTTTGGGGTTTTTTCCCAGCAGTGTCGATGTACCCTATGATTCTTTCCCAGTGAACTGTGGGAAAACTTGTCTGTCCTTTTGGGTATGCGGGGGAATCATGGGAAGGCACTAGAGGACTATCAGCACTCCAGCGGTTTAGCCTGGGTCTACACTGCAAAGTGGGGGGGGTTACTAGTCTGAGTGAAAGCTGCACCCCAGCCCAGGTGGCCAGCCCATGCTGCAATGGCCACACTGCTATTTTTAGTGTGCTAGCTCCATCTGAGCTACCCACCCTGGGACTCGCCCCCTCCCCCGGCTGCAGTGTAGACATGTCCACAGAAGCGTCCTCCTCTCTACGGCCCTGCTCCAAAGCCTGTGGACGCCAATGCCCTGTGTTCATGATGAACCAACTGTGCTTCCATTCCAGTCAACAGCAAAACTCCCGTTGACTTCAATGGCCTCTCTGTCTGGCCTGCATTCACTCCGTACTCTCTGAGGCTTGGGCCCACTAGGCTCTAGCTCTTAGGGTTTTATCCTGCCCCCCGTCACCACAATGTCTGAGCACCTCACATATTAACCTGTTTAGCAATTGCTGGGGCCATAGCAGGCTCCATGGGGTCTCAGGCTGTGTTGCCCACATAACACCCACCGCACTTCACAAGGATCTTTTTTATTCTTTTATTTTATTTTATTTCCATCTGTAACTGTTGCATTAGCAAACCGAGCGGAGGAAGAGCATCTTTCAGCCACTGTGCTGGAGCCAGTTCTTTTTATAGACATAAGAACGGCCATATAGGATCAGACCAAAGGTCCATCTAGCCCAGTAGCCTGTCTTCCAACAGTGGCCAGTGCCAGGTGGCCGAGAGGGAAGGAACAGAACAGGGAATCATCAAGTGATCCATTCCCCGTTGCTCATTCCCAGCTTCTGGCAAACAGAGGGTAGGGACACCATCCTGCCCAATAGCCATTGATGGACCCATCTTCCATGAAAGTATCTAGTTCTTTTTTGAACCCTGTTATAGTCTTGGCCTTCACAACATCCTCTGGTAAGGAGTTAATAATAATAAATGGAGATATACCTATCTCATAGAGCTGGAAGGAACCTGAAAGGTCATTGAGTCCAGTCCCCTACCTTCACTAACAGGACCAAGTACTGTCCCTGACAGTTTTTGTGTTTCCCCCCCTCCCTGAATGGCCCCCTCAAGAATTGAACTCACAACCCTGGGTTTAGCAGACCAATGCTCAAACCACTGAGCTATTCTTCCCAAGGTTGACTGTTCCCTGTGTGAAAAAATACTTCCTTTAATATGGCCTTCATCTCCCTAATGCAGAAAAAACTGACTACTTAAAAAAAAATTACAGACAAGGTATCTGATATCCTATGGCAGGAATTAAAAGGGGGGAATGACAGGATTGCCTAGACTATCCCCTTCATTTCCACATGCTCTAACCACCCTGTCTCTCCTGACTTCAGATCTCTGCTCCAAACCCCCTTCCCATCACTAATCTCTGCCCTGGGGCTCGCTGGCCCTTTATTAATTTTAAAACTACACACAGCCAATTAAAAAACCCTCATGAAACAGAAAATAAATCATCCCAAGCCCTTGTCAATAATGCTCTCCCAAGGGCAGGTTTGTCTTTCCCTGTGCTGTCTGTTGTCTTTTCTACATCCCCCACCAGGACCAGCTGTTGTTTCTTACCCCTTATCCACCAAGGGCCAAAGTTTTCCAGTCACCCCCTTGATTTATGACTATTTCTATGACGGTAGCACCTGAAAGGCCTACGGGGCATCTGGGCTCCATTGTGCTAGACACTGTCCACCCACACTAAAAGAGACAGTTCCTGCCCCCAATGCTTACAACCTTTTACATATGGGTCACATTGGGACCCACTGGGACCCAAGACCATAACAAGGTTCAAAAAAGAACTAGATAAGTTCATGGAGGATAGGTCCATCAATCGCTGTTAGCCAGGATGGGCAGGGATGGTGTCCCTAGCCTGTTTGCCAGAAGCTCGGAATGAGCAACACGGGATGGATCACTTGATGATTCCCTGTTCTGTTCATTCCCTCTGGGGCACCTGGCACTGGCCACAGCCGGAGGACAGGATATTGGGCTAGAGGGACCTTTGGTCTGACCCAGTTGGGTCATTCTTATATGTTCTTAATGGCTGGAAGTTGGACGCTAGACGAATCCAGACAGGAAATAAGGGATATATTTTTAACAGTGAAAGTAATTAACCCGTGGACCTGGCGGATTCTCCATCGCAGACAATTTTTACATCAAGACCGGCTGCTTTTCTAAAGGATCTGCTCTAGGATTTATTTTGGGGAAGTTCTCTGGCCTGGACGATACAGGAGGCTAGACTATATCAGCGGTTTCCCACTTGTGGTCCGTGGACCTGTAGGGGTGGGGGTGGGGGTGCAGACTACGTCTAAGATCTCCAAAGGGGTCTGCACCTACATTTGAAATTTGGGGGGAGGGAGGGTCTGCAAATGAAAAAAAGGTTGAAAACTACTGGATGAGATGGTCTTTCTGGCCTTGGAGTGGGCAAACCCCTGGCCTGCTGCAGGGGGCTCTAAAGACAGTAGGTAGGTGGGGCTTGGATGGGCTTCTCCCCGGGCATTGATCGTCTCCTATTACTTCCATGGACGGGGCCACCTGCCCCAGTGGTGCTGGGTGAGTTATGACCCTGCCGCACTGTATCCTAAGGGTTATTCAGGACAGAGTTTGGGGGGAAGGGCGGATTATTCCAATATCGCCCTCCCTTCCCGGATCTCTTGGTGCAGAGTATTGTGGAGGTGAGGCCACTCCCTGGGCAGGCAGGTAACTCATCCCTAGGTGTGTGTGTGGGGGGGCAGGCAGGAAGCGTAAGACAGGTGGCAGCTCCCTGCCCGGGAGCCCCGTCTCCCAGCGCTAGGGGCTCCGTGTGGGCACCTCTGGCTCCCCGCGGGGCGCCCCGGGCCGGAGCCCTTCCCCAGGCGGGCAGAACAGCCCCCGCCCCTCCCCGCAGCAGCCACCCCCAGCCGAGGCCGCTTTAAAAGCCAAAGCTCCCCCCACCGCCCAGCCACGGTACGGCACCGGCAGCCGGGCTAGCCGGAGAGTCTCCCCGCAGCGCGCCAGCCGGGCTAGCCGGAGCGTCTCCCCGGAGCCGGGGCCGCTGCCCGCCGCCCGATCATGCGCCCCTCCGCGGCTTGGCTGCTGCTCCTCGCCCTGCCCGCCTGCCTGGCTGCGCCCTCCCGGCCTGTCTACACCAACCACTGGGCAGTGCAGGTGCTGGGCGGGCCGGGCGAGGCAGCCAGGCTGGCCTCCGCCTACGGCTACGTGAACCTGGGACAGGTAAGCGCCCGGCACCCCCTTTGCTGCCAACTTTGGGTGGACGGGGAGAGAGGGCGGGCGGCTTGTCCCCAGTGGCCGGGGGCGGCTCTGCCCCTTTGCCCTGCCCGCGGGCACCGGCTCCAGGTGCCCAGGAACCGGTAGCTGGCTGTGCCCGAGCGCGCAGCGCTTCCAACTTTCTCTCCGTGGCTCCGGAGCGCAGCGTCCCCGTGCGCCCTGGGAACGGAGCGAGCTCGGGTCCAGTGCGCAGAGCGCAGGGGCTTGGGTGCCCAGCCCGCAGGCTGAACCCGGGCAGGTCCCCGGGGCGGGCAGGGAAGCTGTTGAAAGGCTGCGGGGGTTGTTCTTTGGCCGCAAGGCCGGCCAGCCCCTTCTCTCAGTGCTGGCAAAGGCTTCGCCTCGAGCGAGCACCTGGAAGTTTAAAAGTCCAGCTAGAGCTAAGGGGCGAGCGCAAGTGCCGAAAAGGCAGCACAGGTTCTCATCAGGTTGGACGCTTAAAGTCAGAGCCTGGCCCCAGTGAAGTTTTGCCATTGATTTCTGGGGGGCGGCAGGATCAGGCCCCGCCGATCCCTGTCTCTCTCTGGTGTTCCTCGCACCATCTCTGCCTCTCTGCAGATCAGCGGATCCTTCCTTGTAAGCGACTGTTCCCAAGTTCAGGACTGTTGGACGCCTTTTCCTCTTGGCAGGCTGGCGGCTGGAGCGTTTTCCTATGATTAATATCCAGCGACGCCTAGCTTTATTTAACGTTAATGGTTAAAAATGTGCGCTAGTCGAGACGTGAAAACAGATGTACAAAATGGGCAATTAGTTACCTAAATCCGGGGGAAGCAGCGAAGTGGAAAGGAATCAATATTTAATTTTTGCAGCGCCAAATGTGCCCTTATCAATTTAAACAGGTTTATGAAGCCTCATGTATTTTTCATGCCCACTTTGGGCTTGAACTAGATTGAGTTTTGGTTTGGGAAGAGTGAAGAAGTTCTGGACTGGATAGGACTATTCTACCGTTTAGGGGAAATTTCAAGTTTGATTCAGCTCTGTGAACGGCTTGTAATGGCTTGAACTAACTTTTAATACTGTTAATAGCAACTCTGAAATGATCTCATGAGTAGGTTTTTTTTCTATAATAGTGGTTGCTTGGTGTAGGTAGCAGTAGGACTGGAATTAATAGTTTAAAGGGCATAGCAAATCTATGGAAAACACCCAGCCCTTCTCCAGATGGGACTTGTACATTTCAAGTACAGAACAAAATGTGAGAACATATTCTTGTGAGGGGGAAAAAGCTTGGAAATAATCAAGGGGGCTAGAGCAAAACACCACCCATGTTGTTTTTTGTAGGTAAACATTGAAGAGCTTTAGGGTTTAGAAGAGATGGCTAAATCCAAAATGAACAAAGCCCCCTTGCAAGTAGGAATGGATGGTGTGGAGGAGGGAAATTAAGTGTGAGGTTTGTAGTGCACACAGTGAGTGATTATGAGATTGTAATGTATAGTCTCCTGGTGAGATTAAAAAGAGAAAGATGTGGTTAAAGAATGTATGCAAACTACAGCCATAAAGGATCAAATCAAGTTACAGATAAACTCGTTTTGTAATTCCAACCATAGTACCATGCAGTGTTTAAATGTAGTTGTGTCATTATCCCTGCAGAAACCAGTAAAGTGTGGTGCTGCTTAATCTAAATCAAATTTTCTTTGTGTTATAACTCCTATCTTGATACTGGTAACGTTTGCTGTTCGGTAAAAGTAATTTTGATCACTTGAATTTATATTTGTGGACTTAACAAACTTTTGACTTGGCTGGCTGCAGTTTATCTAAAATCCAGCAGAACGTTATCAACTTTTGCCGTAAATCCCTTGAAGCACTTCTGTGGCTTACATTTTACTTTCCTCAAACAACTTTGTTTTCTCTCAAAACTTCGTAAATCTTCTTTAAACGTTCCTCGGGGTTTCATCCTGAGTTTAGTGCTTTCCTTGATTACTTACAGTCTGCCTGTTCAGTGTGTTCCCAGTTCAGCGCTTCTCTGTCCAGGTGGCAATTCAATGTGTCTGGGTGCTAAAAGTATCGCCTGAACTGCACTCTAAATTATAATCCAATTCGACATGTCCCATTTTTAGTATAATTAAATAACTAACACTGAAGTATAAACACAAACTACCAGATCAAGATTCCTGCAGTATCCTCATCTGAGATCTGTGGTGCTTTTATGTGGCCACAAAGGCTTTGCCTAAATCCTACAACTCCCGTGTGTGGCCCCATAACCTGTGTTTATAGGCTGAAATATCATGCAGATGAGGTACCCAATACCTAAATTATCCAGATGAATAGATTATAAAGCCAGAAGGAATCATTGTGATCATCTAGTCTGACCTTCTGTATAACACAAGCCGTCAGACTTTCTGAATTAATTCCTGTTTGAACTACATCTTGATGTAATAATTGTCAGTGAGCAAGAATCCACTACGACCCTGGTAAAATGTTTCATTAGTTAATTACCTTCACTGTTAAAAATTTTGCACTTTATTTCCACTCCTAATTTGTCTAGCTTCAAGTCCCAGCTATCGGGTCTTCTACTGTTATAAGCCAGATTGAAGAGTCCTCTGCCGTCAAATTTCTGTTCCCCATGTAGGTACTCAGACTGTGATCAAGTCACTCCTTAACCTTCTCTTTGATAAACAAAACAGATTGAATTCCATGGGGCTTTCACTTTAAGGCCAGTTTTCCAATCCTGCAATCATTCCCGTGGCTATTCTCTGAACCCTCTCCAATTTTTCAACACTCTTCTTGAATTGTGGACACCAAACTGGACACAGGAGTCCAGCAGCCGTTGCACCAGTGCCAAATACAGAGGCAGCGTAACCTCCTATTTGATAGTCCCCTCTTTATACGTTCAAGGCTCATGTTAGCCCGTTTGGCCACAGCGTTGCACTCGGAGCCCATGTTCAGCCGATTATTCAGCACGAGCCCAAGTCCTTTTCAAAGTCACTGCTTAGTCCCCAGAAGTATGAGGTACATTCGTTGTTCCTAGATGTATGACTCTACATTTGGCCGTGCATAAAATGCATATGGTTTGCCTGGGTCCAGCTTTCCAAGTAATCCAGATCTTCATACTCAGCTCATCTTGATGACCACATTTTTTTAGTAACGTGTAGTACAGGGGTCGGCAACCTCTGGCACGCGGCTGACCAGGGAAAGCTCCTGGTGGGCCCGGCCGGTTTGTGTACCTGCCGCGTCAGCAGGTTCGGCCGATCACGGCTCCCACTGGCCGCGGTTCGTCGTCCCAGGCCAATGGGGGCTGCAGGAAGTGACGCAGGCGAGGGATGTGCTGGCTGCAGCTTCCCGCCGCCCACATTGGCCTGGAGCGGCGAACCACGGCCAGTGGGAGCCGCAATCGGCCGAACCTGCTGACGCGGCAGGTAAACAAACTGGCCAGGCCCACCAGGGTGCTTACCCTGGCGAGCCTTGTGCCAGAGGTTGCTGACCCCTGGTGTAGTGTTAGCATGCCAATGGAGAGTGACCTTACATAAAAGCATGCAGCAATACAAATAGACTCAGAGGGACTGCACTAAGGAGGGGAGTCTCAGTTTAGCCTTGCATTGGTTGGGGTTTAGGCGTGGGGGTGGAGAATGGATCTATCCAAGTTTTGATTCTCAGCTGGGGTTTCGGATGAACTCTGGAGTTGAAACCTGTCCCACTTGAAGTCAAAGAGATTTCTGTCATCGACTTGAACGGAGCCGGGATTCCCACCTGCGTTTCCACAGTTAAAGGGACACTCTAAAGGTTAAAAGGGCACCAAACCTGACACTGTCTCATCCCACACAAGGCAACCGTACACTTCTTTTCTTAATGATTGTATTCCTAGGAGGGGACAGGCTCATCTCTAGACATTCAGAATTTCAGATGATTTTAATCTGGGATGCTAAAAACTCATTTTCACATGATCTTCACACTTGTTTAATGGAAAGAGCCCACAGGCAGTACAACAGGGGTCGGCAACCTTTGACACGCGGCCCATCAGGGAAATCCATTGGCGGGCCTGGCCGGTTTGTTTATCTGCAGTGTCCGCAGGTTTGGCCGATCGCGGCTCTCACTGGCCGTGGTTCGCTGCTCCAGGCCAACAGGGGCTGCGGGAAGCAGCGTGAGCCGAGGGATGCGCTGGCTGCCGCTTCTCGCAGCCCCCCATTGGCCTGAAGCGGCGAACCACGCCAATGGGCGCTCCGATCGGCTGAACCTGTGGATGCTGCAGGTAAACAAACCATCCCAGCCCGCCAGCGGATTTCCCTGATGGGCCGCGTGCCAAAGGTTGCCGATCCCTGCAGTACAAACTTACCCTGTGAGTCATGCTTCCCAGAACATTGTTTGCAGAATTAAGAGAGCGGTATCCAGTGTGCATGGTTGGCAGTGCGACTTAGTCAATTGCCTTATTTGGAGTTTTGATACATGGGTGAGGTTTTTTATTTTATGCTTTTTATCCCCAAATTAGGCAGGAGTTACAGTTTATACCCTCATTCAATCACCGCCAAAAATGGAGAAACCCAACCTTTCTAGGGCCTAATTCTGTGAGGATCAGACTTCAGTGAGCAGTGCTCATCCATTCATGGGAGGTGTAATTAGAACCCAGGTGTTACTCTGTCTGTCTAAAACACAGATTAACCTTTCTATAGGGCAAGATTCTGCTGGGAGCATTGTCATCACTGTCATTTAGGCATTTGAAATTCTGAAATGACCAAATCCTAGAAGTTGTATATAAAAATTGCTTTGGGGCTTTGAATGTCATTCTCATGACTACTGTCTCTTCCCCCAAATGAATGGGACTTGACTGTCACAACAACTGGCATGTGGCAGTTTAGGGGGGAAGCCTTTCAGGTCATAAGTGTGAAATTTTGTCTGGAAAACAATGTTCATAGATGGGTCTGGAACCGTAATTTGATTTGTGTTTTAAATGAAACAAATCCTTTAAATTAAAGAAAGGAACTTAAAATAACCAATCAAACATCCTGCTCATTCTTAAC